TTCATTAGTTTATTCGTTTCATTTATACTTTGATTCTGTTACTTAAATACTCTTGTGCAAAAGTCGTCGCCATCATAACTTCACTAGCGATTTTCGTTTTAAAATAGAAATTTAACTATTTTAAGGTTAACCGATATTAAATTATGAAGATAAGCAGTGGAGACAACATAGAATCTTGAACAAAATGCACGTTTCCAAGGTGCCATACGAGTGTTATGAGAGAAAATTAACTACTATTGTAATATGCTTGAACAAATGAAGGCAATATAAGGGGAGCAGAATGAAATAAACACTCCAGTGGTACACTTCATTCATGTTGTAGGCTGATAAAAGTAGCGCTTAAACGATAAGTTTGAATTAGCCTAGCAGAGGGGAACAAGGTGAGATATTCAGTAAACACTTGTTAAATAGATTTTGAAAATCAGTATTGAGTATATTGCCATGGTTATATGCACTAATATGATTTTCTAACCGACTTGAATTCTTATTAGGAGACTTTTACAAAACTGAAGTCCAAAGGTTCTCTACACCTGAAGTATACGGATAATTTTATTTCAACCACTAAATCGCATAAGTTATCACTTCAGTTACTGAACCATCCCGCTTTAGTGGTGATTACTGTTTATGTCTTCGACACTGATAAAATGTACTTAAGTAATCTTTCAAAGCTTGAATATAGTCACTGGTGTACTGTGTGTGATGCACTGAAATAGGAATGACTGTATTTAGATTGAGTTTGCGGGGATTTACAGATTACGCAGTGATTTTCATCACGGACTGAAATCAGTTAACTAACCACTGAATATCTAGGAGCACTGAACAGCTGTTCCATCCAAGTATAGTACTCTGAGCCGAGCTCATCCACGGTCGCAAGAGGAACCAAGCCCAAGACAATCAGATTTTGCAGGTCTAAGAGCTACTGATTCACTTTTTCTACTTCCATCATCCAATGCGATCGGTGGTCATCTACCATATACCTAATATGGTTGATCTGACAGACAAATACTTCTTATTAGAACCCAGAGAAGATCATCCTGATCCTTCCCAGGGTCATGGATGCACGTTACTGTGGAACCGTAAACTAGAATAAAACGACTATTCCGTACTTCTGATATTAAATGGTTTTACAACTGATGCTAATCCAATATGAAAGCAACCTTGAGGTTGAGATTATTGCCGCATGCAACGTTAAATGCCGCTAACATTTTTTTATACATATGTATACTCAACTAGATTTCATACTTATTTTTCAGATACTAGAGAGGCATTTCTTGTTAAAGCATACCATCTTTATAAATCTCTATATAGTTATCAAGGTTGTTTAGTTCTGTTTTGGATCAATTTACTCAATGCAACGAATAATAAAAAGTGTTTTGCCTGCACTGAATATTTGAATCAAAATCCAGTGTAATGGTTTGAACTTAACGCTAGAATACTTCCACTTTTTCACTCTCTTCTTAATGAGTACATGGACATACTTTGTTATCAATTGTCCATAGACACTTATCTTGGATTAAGACCTTTCCATATATTTCCACTGACTGTTTTTGACTTTACTAAAAATAAAAAAGCATCCAAAGAAGTAAAGTTTGGAGTTAAATGTTTGAATAAAGTAAACTGCAAATCCATTAGCTTTATGTTTCTTAAGAATAGAAAACATGTAAATACAAAGTGAACTCCCTAGACTGGCTATCACAAAAGAAGCGTCTTTGATTACATTCTCAAATAACTGGGATGAGTGTTCTTCAAAATATCAGGCAAACTATTTGACAAATTTCATTTGCATCAGCTAAGAAAGATTCTCTATTTATCATCTAAAAATCGCTGAATCTCAAGAACTTTATAAACCCTGGCTTTATCTTTTAACGAAAGGTACTCAGTAAACTTGGTTCTAACACGATGCTAGTTTCTATCCAGCGTTTTTGCACTTTTTACCACAATCAGATTACTTTAGACTACCTTATATAACATCTATATGAGGTGTCTGCAGGTTTTATAATGTTGTAAACTATCCATTTGACTAAACACTCCACAAGAATTATGTGTAACATACTTGTAAATTCATGTGCAGACTTATTTTTCTGTCTCACTGATATACTTTATTTGGAATCTGTTAGCCTGTCAGTAAACAAAATTATGCATAATGATCACCGACATTTTTATTTCAATCTATAGTCTAGAAAAACCTGCTGTAAAGACACGAAGAAACTCAATAAAACTTTCACTGCAACTACTTCTAGGAAGAATTTCCACCAGTGTCATTTCCCGTAAACTACAATTTCAGAAGGGAATCGTCTACTGTATTAGCTAACCAAGCGTTTGCAGACGAATGCTTGACTTTTAAGATTAAGGTTGGATATATTTGGGTGCGAAGAGTGAATCGGTGATGTGATTTTCCCAGTGAGAGCAGCAAGCATAATCAATGTGGAATACGGTTGAATCTATTTTTCTCAGATATACGATTGCTTTTTAAAAGCTGCATAGCAGAGTAATTGATTTTTAGAAGCTCACATCATCTCAAAGTTTTTTATTTTATTTCATACCAGTTTATGTTATAGGTCATAATCTTTCATACCAACAGTGTGATTTTAGGTTGAGACCCTACTGACACCATGGTTGGACATTTGACAGAAGTCAAATTACCACGAGAAATGGTAACATGATCCATAGAGTTTGTAAATAATTTGGAATTTAATGATCTATTTTATACATACTAGTCCCTTTGGGTTAGTTAGACATTAATTGATCTCAGACACCCGGTTGGAAGGGTATAAAGCTAGTAAGTCATAGGCAGCTGGTTTCAGTCCTATCGCAACTTAAGTTTTCCCTCTATTTTGATAGTATTTGACAGCATTATCTGCACGACGATTAACAAGAAACTAACAGTAGAGTCATGTTAGGTCCTTATTTTCATAGTTCTCTTTAATATCCATAGATCAGCCCAACACTCATTCACAGTATGTACATATGATTTTGTGCATGAAATAAGTAGAAACAGTGTGGAAAATGCTAATCACAATGGCTTAGAAAATGTTAAGTGATCACTGAGATTTGGTTCAATAATGAAGAAAGAATAAATTATCACAATTCAATTCACCAACTAATTACATATTGATAGAATGTTAATGGCATTTATAAAGTAATAACGGAAATCATTTGAAGTATATAAGTTTAGATGTAAAAATTATCTATAGGTGATTGACACAACTAAAGTCACCAAGTTGGTTAAGTTAAAATAATAATAACCTTAACTCTGGCTGTCAATTTCGGGAATTAAACGTAACCTTGGCGAAAATATGATTCAAATTAGAGTGGATGACCTCATTCAACTGGATGAACAGGATTTTGTGAGAAGTAATCGATTTTTATAAAAAATAACTTAGCTGGATTTGATATACGTCAGTGAACAGGACTGAAAGTCACAACCCTAGTCCTTAATGGGAAAAAAAATAAATTACTTTCTTCACAAAATGGGAAGGAAAAGTATTTTTGACATTGTCTTCTTCATGTTGATTACAAGATCAGTGATTTCAAAATCAGTAAACCACAAAGCAGACGTATTCATCTTGGTTACCAGTAGTAGAATCAGGAAGCACATTTCGTCATTTCTGAGACTTTCCGTCCTTTCCAATAAGCTGAAGAGTGGATAAATTCAAACCACCCAAGAAATTTTTCAGACCTATTACTTATTGTATATTATGATTTGTTTACATCAGTATTAACCACAACTTAGATGAAATTGAAATCCCATATTTTTATGAGTTTGCTTCTTTTGACCATCCACAGAAAGCTACACGTTTAATATCTGAATGTTTCTAGATTGACAGAACTACTCATTAGAACAACTTGAAACTTGGTACAGCAGTTTGGGTTTTTTCAGTCCATCAAAGCCCTTATTACTACAACATACTAGAGTTAAACGAAAGAAATTTATATCTTCAATCGAAACTGTGTAAGGTTAAGCGACAACAGTCCGCAACCCAAAGAGCTTAGTTAAATTTGGTACATAACTCATTTAATGGATCTTAGGATAACTTCTTCCTTATTTCAGGCGAAGCTAATTAACTAGTGACGCTATTATTATTACTTGTCCCTTGGGTTCCTAATGGAGCTTAGGGCTTCAGTAGCACGTCTCCAATGCGCTCTGTTCTCTGAGATCTTTTGAACCTGGCTCCACAACAGCCCAAAAGCCCTCATTTCTTGATCGTACGATCTCCTCCATGTCACCCTCACCTCGGACACCCAACTCGTCGCTTCCCATCGGGGTTCCACTCGAGGGCCTGGCCTGACACATGATGTCCCCTGTCGGCCTTCTCAATGTATGCCCAATCCATCTCCACTTTCTCCCACTGCATATTTGTTGAGCGATAGCTACTTGGTTGTTTCGTTCCCAGACTTCCTTCTTGCTAATTCTTCCTGTCCATCTGATCTAATCTTCAGTAACGAGCCAGCGTAGGCGGCAGTTGTTGATGAATATCTGTAGTTTGTTGGAAATGCCTTTCATAACGCGTCAAGTCTCTCAACCATACAGGAGAACTGACTTGACTGACGTTGGTGTTGACAATCCGGATCTTGTTCCACATGCTGAGTGCAGAAGATCTCAACACTGGTTTCAGGCTAATGAATGCCTGTCTTGCTTTTCTGATTCTGACTTTAACATCCTCGTCTGTCCCGCCTGTAGTTGAAATAGTGCTTCCTAGATAGGTAGAGGAGGCTACTTCGTTCAAGTTTCTCCCGTTGATGGTGATTGGAATTTGTTGTTGGTGGCAGTGCTGTTGGTTGAGCATCTTCATCACCTCTGTCTTCTCTATATTCACACTAAGAAAATGTATTTTTGCATAAACACTAAAAATGAACTGCTTGAAATATGGACTTCTTACTGGTCCAGTATATGAACCAAACAGGGAACATATTGTGAAAACTATAATAAACATCAATAAACGGACAACTCATCTCTTGTAGAATAAAAAATTACCGTCCATAGATGGAGAACAACTTACAGTTCTCTCTACTTCAGTTAAAACTAGTTTATCTACTTCATTGGCAATATTTCTGGCAATATGGGGATCAATTCCTTCATTCCTAGCTTTTTCATCAATTGATACATTCTTTGGTAAAATTCCTTTTTCTATAGCGTAAACCTGTTTTTGAAAAAGTGGAATTTATTAATTCACATGAAAGTGAGGTTGTTATTTCACAACATTTTCAATATGGTAGTCAAAAATTTAACAATATTTAACAACCACCTTAGATAAATATTCCTATTCTTATCACAATATTATCTTTATCTGAATAAAAGGACACTGAGTGCTGATAGTTCCAGAAAGTTTTGAACACATTTGATTAGAGTATTTCAAAATTATCAACATGAATTATATCATCGCACAGCCTTTTAAAGAGTTCATAAAGCATAAGCAGCACTGACAAAAATGATTAAATGCTCATAAAATATCCTTCAAAATAAAAAGTAGCTTATCGCAGAAACAAATGTAATCGAGAATTTGAATGTTCCTGGTTAACTAACGATAAGCTACAGATTAAAGTGATATAAATGATGGTGCATTCTCAATAAGGCTGGGATTAAAGTGGCATTCAAACCAACAAACTCACTTAGAAACAAGCTTTGAAGGTTAAAAGATCCTATCGATGTAATTAAACAAAATAATCTGGTTTACCAAAATCCCTTGCAGTAATTGCGAGGTCAAGTACATTGGTCAAAGCGGTCGACCAGGGTCGATTAGAATAACAGAGTACGAAAACTCAGCTGAATCAAGAGTAGTATATACTAATAAGATAAGAAATCTAGAGAAAAGCTCGGCTATAGCTCTGCATGCAGCGACGCACAATCACACAGTAGGGTGGGATGGAGCGACAGTGTTGAAAAGTAACTTAGTTGGGTGGAGGGAAAGATTGATAACCGACTGAATCTTTGTTTATGGAATCAACACCAAACACATGCAGTCGAAATGATTCTGCACTTGTCCCAGATACATGGAAAATTCTACTACCCTTGTCATCACAGAGAAGGAGAGAAAATTAGGAGTATATAAAGTCTGCCTCGAAGTTATGGAGTTACCTGATGTGAATACGGACAATAAATTGTGTCCGATACGTTATCCAGTAAATGCTACTGTTTCACTGTGTGAGATTTCTAATTAACAGGCTAAAATGGAATTACAATCGACCACAGTGACCAAGTTTTACTCTTATATTAATAAATAATAACTTTGTTGTCACTTGAAAATAATTAACTGAAAAGTAATTGCTGTTTGATTACAGAAGCTTTGTATATCATCAAATTCATAACCGAAGGATAACCGAAATTCAAAATGATACTCTCGTTGTTTTGATCAGTAGAAGCAACTCAAGAAAACTGGGAACTAAACTGTATGATAAGCCAGTACAAGTTAGTCAAACCGTCACTAGAAACAATCTTGTAACACATATACTAATTTGTGCACAGACTATTTTCTGGGGATAAGAAAAACTGAGGTAAATTTTACTCTCCACAAAATAAGGAAAATTTTGTCAATGACTCTGTCTAATAACAACACCTGGATTGTACTCACGGACATATAACCAAACACGATTTACAAAATAGACTGAGATATCTGTGGTAATCACCGAACTGAAATAAATAAACATCGACTGATTGTTAAGTATAATGACCATTTCCTTGCCAAATCAATTCACATGAACAACTGTTCATACGAATTGGGGTCTTATGGAGAGAAGAAAAAGAAATTTGGAGAATTTCCTAGTCTGACATTCAGGTTAGTCAACAGTGATAAGATGTTTATATGGATCCTGATCAACATTTGGCCGGAGTTTCACAAATATTGGGGGCCGAGTGAAAAGTTAACATAAGGTATAAGTTAGATATTGAAACAAATCTCAACGTGTTTGAAATAAGAATCCCAACGTTTCGCACGGAAGTCTGGTTCGAGTTTCTTCAGAAAAATAATCAAAATCTACATTATCACATATATATATATATATATATATAACAGATCAAAAACGTATAGTTTATTTCAGTGTCCCATTATGACTGGACTATAATTGTTTTTCAATAGGGTTATTAATCATACATTGGAAAACAATCGTAATCTAGTCATGATGGGACACGGAGATGAACTATACTTTTTTGGCCTGTTTTATATATATCTATGATAATGTAGACTTTGATTATTTCCCTGAAGAAACTCAAGCCAGATATCCATGCGAAACGTTGGAACTTTTCTTTCGAACACGTTGAGGTTTGCACAAACATAAGACATGTAAACAAACTTAACTAATCTGCGACTGAGGTATATGGTAAGCAACTCTAGGATCAAAACTAGATGGTTAAAACAGCTAATCACAGCACATGTATAAGCAGTGACATTACAACTAGTAAAAGTAAACAGCCTAACTCTGAGTTCTCAAGTTGACCCCGTCAAGCCATCAGTCTACTTACTTTTTCAGTTCGAAAGGATGATTTTGCTTAGAAGGGCATTTAACACGTCAGAATCCAAGCATCTACCTCAGAGAAAGGAACAGTGAAGAAATCACTATCCTGTCACATTTACAATATGACTTCTCCTCTTTAGGGTCTATAAGAAATATCTCAAACACACACGTGAACTAACCGGATTGAATAGAAAAACATTTACATCAGCTAACATTGGCTGATAATTTTGATTTAAGCGAATCTACAGTGGGGGAGATAACTAGTTGTAATATTAAAGAGTTTGCAGCTTTAATTGCTTGCACTACAGTGGTCTAAAGCGAATTGTCTAAAATCTCTTGTATGCTCCGAACCAATATTTAGTTTACCCTAAACCACCTCAGAGACAAACATAGTTGTGGTAGGTTTGATCATACTGGTTCGATTTATCAGTTAATCGAATATTCCAGTTTCCTGCATCCAGAACAGGATTTCTCTATCTTTGCAAAATAATAAATGCTTAAATTCATTTAGCATGAAATATAGACTGGTGATTATTCATTGATCATACGATGTTGTACAGAAGGTTAGCTATTACCCCTTTATTTCACTAATTACATCTGAAGAAGTGTAGGTTTCCTCGAGTTCGCTTTCTGCACCCTACTGATGAGTCTAAACAAGTCAAAACAACTAAGATTATCTCCCTATTTTCTAATGTCTATAAAATAGGTAGACATCAAAAAATTATGTCTAAAGTAGATTCTTTTGTCATTCTTACCTGTTCTATTACGGCGTGAAGTATCAACTCAACACTTGTATTTTCAATTGGTAAACCTTGAAGTACTTCGTTGTAAAATTTCATATCCAAAAAGTCTTCCGTTGAATTATCACCACACTCTTCAGCCTTTAATAGACTCTTATCCGCGATGGCTTGCATCGAATTCCTTATCGGTTTAAGTAACTTCGTCAACTGACTTTGACTTGATAGATAATTTTCATCTAACAATGGAGGGCACATAGGCAGTTGTATGACTTTGATATGCTGTAAATAATTTTGCCACTGGCGTCTAAAGTCAATGAGATCATACAGAATAGTGGCAATCTCGTTGAACATTACAACTCCAAATGATGCCTTAAATTTATAAAAGATTAAATGAAAAGTTTGTCATTCAATATACAATTATGTTTCGAAATGAAAACTTCATATGACTAACAATATCAGTATGTAACCGTTAAAATACACAAGAAAGTACTTGTGTCAGCTGTCCATCTGTGAAGAGGGCTAAAGAGCTGAGTAGAATATTAGTCATGTTTGTCAGCACACTCCTTTGAAGTATATCAGTACATAGACAGCTGATATACCCAAGAGTATTACCAACTTTGGATTACTCATCATGAAATCGAAACATGAATTATATAATAATCGAGAATCAAGCATCAATATAAACGCATATCCTCGATTATGTTTCGAGCATAAATTATTGCTCATAATCATATCAATGTAATCACACTTCTTTCGATATCTGATTTTATAGTCCTGTCACCTGATTTTTCTTTGTTTTTGTTTTTTGATTGGTAGTAAGGTTTTCCATATCTCTGGTATATGTGTTGCGTCATTCCTATTACATGTGTTGGGTGTGGATTCGATGAACAAAGACTCAGTAATTAATCCCTCTCTCCACCTAGCTATATTAGACTTAAGTACAGTGGTTTTGTCCCACTCTATTGTGTGGTTGTGTGTTAATGAATGTAATGCAATGGCCGAGTGTTTTTCTAGATTATTGATATTATTGGGGTCTGTCGTTCTATGTTAAGCTAAATTCCTATGTACTGCTAATCTAACTGACCCCGACCGGCTAGTTTGACCTATGTATTTGACCTCACAGTCATTACATGGAATTTGGTAGATATTATTTTGCCTAATTGGTTCTATCGCATCTTTTAGCCGACAAAGCTTACCTCTAAGTGAGTTTGTTGGTTTAAATGCCACTCTAATCCCAACCTTGTTGAGAATCCTACCTATGGTTTCTGATGTTCCTTCCTTGTATGATATCACAATAGAGGTGTTGATTTCCTGTCTACTTATGTTGTCGCTATCATTTGTATTTGTATAACTACTGTTATTTTGCTTCTTATGTGTTTGTGTGAATTTCTTAATAAAATGGTGGGGATAATTATTAATTATTAACGCTTCTTTTATGTTTCAATCCCTTATTTAAGTCCTTACAATGACTAGTGGGTTTCTTAGCTCTGTTATTTAGACATTTGACTAAATCCGCTTTAACTGACACTGGATAAGATGACTTGAAGTCTAGATACCTGTTAGAATGTGTTGGTTTTCTGTAGACGGTAGTATCTAAACTACCATCTATCCTTCGTTTTATTCTGCAATCCAACATAGGTTATTCTCCTTGTTCATTTTCTACTTCGTAAGTGAATAAGATCAATAAGATCTTATTGATCTTCAAGTCATCTCATCCAGTGTCAGTTAAAGCGGATTTAGTCAAATGTCTAAATAACAGAGCTAAGAAACCCACTAGTCATTGTAAGGACTTAAATAAGGGATTGAAACATAAAAGAAGCGTTAATAATTAATAATTATCCCCACCATTTTATTAAGAAATTCACACAAACACATAAGAAGCAAATAACAGTAGTAATACAAATACAAATGATAGCGACAACATAAGTAGACAGGAAATCAACACCTCTATTGTGATATCATACAAGGAAGGAACATCAGAAACCATAGGTAGGATTCTCAACAAGGTTGGGATTAGAGTGGCATTTAAACCAACAAACTCACTTAGAGGTAAGCTTTGTCGGCTAAAAGATGCGATAGAACCAATTAGGCAAAATAATATCTACCAAATTCCATGTAATGACTGTGAGGTCAAATACATAGGTCAAACTAGCCGGTCGGGGTCAGTTAGATTAGCAGTACATAGGAATTTAGCTTAACATAGAACGACAGACCCCAATAATATCAATAATCTAGAAAAACACTCGGCCATTGCATTACATTCATTAACACACAACCACACAATAGAGTGGGACAAAACCACTGTACTTAAGTCTAATATAGCTAGGTGGAGAGAGGGATTAATTACTGAGTCTTTGTTCATCGAATCCACACCCAACACATGTAATAGGAATGACGCAACACATATACCAGAGATATGGAAAACCTTACTACCAATCAAAAAACAAAACAAACAATGTGAGCGAAGAAATATTTCTTTTCAATTCTTCGCTCACATTGTTTGTTTTACTAAATGTCTAAATGGGAATTTTTGCATTACAAAAACAAAAAACAAAGAAAAATCAGGTGACAGGACTATAAAATCAGATATCGAAAGAAGTGTGATTACATTGATATGGTTATGAGCAATAATTTATGCTCGAAACATAATCAAGTAAATAATGCTGTATCACTGTGTGCTATATATCAAATAAACAAATCTAATGTGAAATTACATTCTACCACAGTGTCCAAGTTTTACACATGTCAATAAACGCATATCCTGTTAACTAATCAATTTCTGATTAGCGCACATGTATGGTGACACCGAAATAGCTCAAAGACATCATAGTTCATTCTAATGTAGTTAAAAATTTCAACTACAGGCACTATTTTCTTATCTGTTGGTTCAGCAGTGACTCGTTCACCACAATTACTGGTGACCTTAGGTGTGGTCAAAAGGTGAATCAAAGCCAGGACTTTATGCAGTGTATAAATATTTTAGACACCAGAAGACAAAAAAAGCCATGCACAAGGTACTTTTTGAGAGTAATATTCTAAAAGCTACTCATGAAAGGGCTACACTGGCGAATTATTTTCCTGAGTTGTCGAGATCTTCATACACATTTCTGTAGCTATGGAAAACTTTGCATTTCAGTAACTGCTATGAAACCGCTAATAAACGATAAATGTGAAAACTACGCGTTTTGGTCAGTCAAAGGCTAGCGAAGAACAACAGAAACATTCCTGTCTGAACACACTTAAAGATTTGAAATTATTCAGCTCCTCATCATTCATTTTTTAAGGCAATTTACAGAGCTGCATTAAACTACTCCAAAGGTCTCTATTTATACCATCTATGCATGACCAAAATACTGGCTATATATAACAAACGAGTTCTTTGCAGTCTTTATGTACATTGTTCACAACTGGATCGTTTAGTGATTTTATTTCACTTCACTTCATACATTTCAGTTTCATCATCATTCCACACTTTTTTGACAGCAATAGATTCATTATTCAGTTCTTATGATCAACTCTTCATGTTTTAAAGACTCCCTCCGTATTTGTACAAGTGAACCAATATCCTGACCATCAGCAATTATATAATAGGCATGTTAACTCAGAAACGTTTTCGTGCCACTATCTGACTCTTTACCAAACACAAATTCGACTGTAAAGTTTGAAAATAAAGTCAGCGGAAAAAGTTTAGTTTTCTAAATAATGAATAAATGGGTTTCTTTTTCAGATATGACAGCCGCATACTTTCTTGCTGACATTGTTGTTGATAATGACTCTCAATAAGGGACACCTTAAAGTTCAAATGATGATTTATAATTCGTTAGGAAAACATGTTGACGATTAACTTCCTCATAATTATAAAATTTATGTTCACTTTAGGATAGAGAAGCAGCATACCTGAAGACTAAACAATTCCAAGTATCAATGAATAATAACTAATACTGGTTGCTCAGAAGTGGCTCCCATGACCCAGTAGTCTAGTGGATATTACTTTGATGTTTAAAGAAATATGCGCTGGGTTCAGGTTTCAATGGGTGCGTTCGGCTAACGAAACCCAAATAAGGCGAGAAGTGCATCCTGGATCCTTCTAGTAACCACCACCGAAAAAATTATAAAGTAAGTAATGCTCAAGCGATATCGAGGTATCGTCACAGGAGCCCGTACGCCTACAGAGTTTGATCGGTTTGTCCCAGTATATTAACGACAAATTACAAGTATTAATAAATAGTAGTGTTTATTTTCCAACAGAAATAACTCTTAGGAAGCAGGAACTTTCTAATTTCAGATTATTCAACTCCATTTCAACAGGTTTAAATTAGGAGTTCTGAGCACGGTGGCGAATATCTGAAGTTTTAACATTTCGTCTGCAAGATGGGAGCTTTCTTTTTGATAACAACAATCTGTATGTGACGTAATAAAACTAGACTGAAGTTGTGTTTTCCGAGCTTCTCTTCCAATTTTCTTTTACAATGACAGCAATATCAAAGTGGGTAATGCCTTGAATACTGCCAATTTGTATGACTGGGGAGTACTTAAAAAGACTTTTGGAGCATTTAGCTTAAACACAAAAGCTTTAATAAAATAAGCAACTTACGATGAATCAACTGGAATCGATGCTCAAGATTTTTTAAGATTGCATTTATTATGAGTATTGTAATGATGATATTTTTCCCTGCTAAACTTTTATCTCCTTTAATATAGTTCTTCTTTCCCTTACGTCTATTCATCCTGTAGTGTGATGATGCAGCTTGAACTAGTGTTCTTATGTAGAAGTTCCCCATTGTTAGTAATGATAATAGGGCGACAAATATCTCACGCATGGTGCCGCTACAGTTTATTGGATTCAAAAGCTCGTTGCACTGAAGTGCTGTAATTCGTTTCTGAGGTGCCTGATTTTCTGATATTTGCGAACTGCACTAACTTCTGAGCTAAGTCACTTAAGCCTAGAATTCAGTGGTAAATGAGTTTAAACTGTGCGGTTTTTGGATGCACTCAAGATATCAATGGGATAACTATAAAAAATTGAAAACTGAAACGACTGAGGATGAATAATTTGGATTTCGTTGCGTTCTTTGATCTAGGTGGTTTATTTCGTGAACGAAATACGACCGAATTTGAATGATCTTTGCTAAAGACAACAATCTGAGCGAATACATATTTTCTTTTTGTTGTAATTTGAACAGAGAAGCTCAGAATTTAAAAAAGATTCTGTTATGCTACTTGTTAGTAGTTTATTTTTCTAAATAAAACATAATGATGATCACGTTCAATGTTGATTTGTTTGGTTTTAAAATTCACATAAGACTAAGAAGCTGAAAAATGTATTGATTGGTGTGTAAATCGTAGATTTGTATGTTGTACCAACTGAAGAAGCATTGCCTACTAATGCACTTGGTGATCTGAATGAGTCTTCGTCTAAATACATATCTGTGAATTATCTTTTGATATCAACTCTATAGTGAATTTTGATAACGCTATTAGAAGACGAAGATTATCTGAAAAATGTGATATATTTGCGTAATGCATTTCGAACAATCTGATCACATATTTACTTGTCAAGTAAACTTATATATGAAAATGAAAGGTCAGATATAATGAAAATGTGACACTAGTCTTGGTAATCTAATCAGATAAGGATTACTAAGGTAAATTAAGTGAAACAACAAGCCTCACAACGGAGGCTTAAATCGTAATCCTTACCAAGACTAGTGTCACAACATTTTCATATTCCTTATTTGGCCTTTCATTTTCATATATAAATTGACTTGACAAGTAAATGTGTGATCAGATTGTTCGAAATGTATTGAGTAAATATATCAAAATTTTCAGATAATCTTCTTATTCTAATATCGTTATCGAAATTTATTAAAAGAACTAATTGTTTCAAATATTATATAGTAGTAAAATTTATACCTAGCCAGCTCCCTTTCCATATACTACGGATCAAAAGCATATTCTTACAAATACTTATCATTATAATCCGAGGTATTACTCATTCTCCGGGTTCTCAAACTGAGAAAAATCTCTATTATGCTGATGAGGTATGAAATTCGTCTTACTGGCAAGTAGGTTAATAAAAAAAAACTAATTTGATAGTTTATATGTATGAAGTTCACGAAATAAATGGCACTCTAGTTCAGAAAGGCTTACTGAAAAAATCACATGAAAACCTCTACTGAAGTTTCTTATTTGGTCTGTAAAAACTCAGCAGACTGTTAAATATTAGGCACTGAAATTAGTGATTTTAATAATCGTTTCTTCAAAATCAAGTGATTCGTCACACAGATGAAATGTGGTTTGGTTTTATTTCTTCTAATGGTTGGTCTACTGACTTCTGAATGCTGGCTCAGTAGCTGCATCCAATGAAATATGAGTATACCAGTGTATTCACAGCAGTGAGACAAGCTTTTGTGAAGTCAAAAAGATACTCTTTCAAAATGGCTTTATAACTCATTCATATCTTAGGGGTTAAAGGTACTCACTATCATAAACGATAAATTTTTAGTATCTAGGATGTTCCTGTTGGTTAGGAGCTTTTTAACATGTACACAGTGATAATGATGTTTATGAAAGATGTCAAATATAGGAAAACGCAGAAGACGACTGCAGCGAACAAACGTTTTTCTTTCCGACGAAATCATTTTCTTAGCTGTACATTCTTGAATATACAGTACAAAAGATAAAATATTTCAGAGTAATTTCTGGTCAAAAATGTACAGCTAAGAAAATCATTTAGTTGAAAAGAAAACACTTTTTAGCTGCAATCATATGCTGTGTTTTCGAATATACAAATGCGAGTGTTTGATATTTGAAGAATATCGAATAAATTAGTTGGTGAAAAATTTAATGACCAACCCTGTTTTCTGTTCCATTCAAATCATCAGGAAGTAATTCTGTTTTAACATTATAATCTAAAGTTGCAATATTGCCCAGACGATCGTATACATGATCTCGCATTAAAATACTAGTTGTACGCCAATACTGTCTTAAATGTTCTTCTGCTGATATTATAGCCTCTTGTTCAGATCTCATTTGCTCCAAATCTTGTTCAGCTATAAATTAAATGAAAACATACAGTTTTACAAAGAAAAATAGAATCACTTACAACATATTAATGATGGGCAGGTAAAACCGTTACTCGAAAATTTGCAAAAATGGATACTTTACCTCATTCTTCCTTTCACTTGTGAAGTATTCATTATACACGAAGCATTATTCCATGTATTATAGTCATTAAGTTAATCATTATAACAGCTTCTCATAATAAGTTAATGTCTCTCTTATCTTCTGTTACTTTAATCAAGAATTTTGGTATTGTGAATACTTCATATAATAATCATGGATGTGAAAAAAAGAAAAAAAGGTTATAATTACGCTGCAGTGTCAAACTTTGACGCTGACAAAATTCAGCTAGAGAAGAATGTAACTCGATTACTAACTTCAATGACGAAACAATCCATCTAGTAGCTGACCTTTAAGGACAACTGACACATAGTCGATTTACCTACCAATGCTAAAAACTGGAAGCAGACGTTAGTAGCATAGTATGGTGGTTAAAGATAAATAAAATGTCTCAGTTGTATGAGTCACCGTTTTGTAATCTATACTGCTAATCTGTACTTCAGTAGGCAAACATTTTATAACTACGTCTCAGTAGGATGGCTTTCCCGTAAGACATAAAAACAGTTCTGAACTTCTCTAAGATATAAGGGCAAGATAGTCACAAATCTCAGTTTTTAACCGGTAAAGTGTTCTTACTGAGTTTCTAAGATACATGTCAAATATTTATGTAGCTAGTCAGTTTATTGAACTAGAAGACGAGTTTAGATAACTAATGTAATAATGAAGGAATATTCATATGAAACGGAATTCTAAGTTTTTAAAGTAAAACGCAAACATGATGGATATTTAGATCTCATAGCATAGTCAACGGAGGTAGGGAGAGATATCCTAGGCTTCTGTTTTGATTTCGAGCATGATGCAAATATGCTTAAGAAATCGATCGTGAAAACCTTGTAACCAATTATTGGGGAATAAAATCAAACCTAGTGACAACATTTTAGTAGTCGATTTTAAGGATAGTTAACAAATGTATAGTTTGTCAATGAGACGATGTACATGATCGTTATTCCGTACTTCTACTTTAAAGATGAGTGGCATATCTTACTAAACTTGTCTCAAATTAGTTATTAGACGGTTGTCAATGGCAGACCTAGCACCTAGCTTACAGATGTTAATAATGACAGCATTACATTGACAAGACAAGGACTTATAATGTATTCAAGACTAGTCAACATTTAGAGAGATATAATTAGTACTACAACTATTATTATCCTTACCATTGTCAGCTGTTTGCATCTCCTCACAAAAAAATTTACCTTCAGATGTCATAAATGAACATGAATGTACAGAATGGAAATACATCCCACGTAAATGCATACTTCTGCGGTCAGACGATCTCCAAAACCAAATAAATAACTCGATCAGATTAACTAGAATGCCTGGTCTATATATTTGTTCGTATACAAGTGTTGGAGAATCTCTTCTAGTTGCAGAATGCGAGCCAGAGGCCTGTATGTACACGGTATGTATCTAATGAGTTATGATACGTTCTGACTACTGAGAAATAGTATAAAATTAAACTGTTAATTTCGGTGGGTCTAAAATTGAAGAGACGATTGGCTTTTCTTATTGTATTCTCTCGTATTCTGCATAAAAGCAAAAAACTGCTGTGTCAGTTTAACCCATCAATAAGGTCATATCCAAACCTTGATCAGTTTCTTCCAATATTTATACGTATTACTAATAGCAAAAGCGAGAATACATAATTCAGTGTAGAACCGTTTAATTTTTTTTTTAAGGACTTGTACAGTTCCTTGTATAAGTATTTTTATCGCCAAGTCTCATCCCTCACTTACTGTCTTCTTAATGTGCCAATCCCCCGTGAAAAAAGGACGACATGACAAGTTCTATATTGTTTATTTATCTCCATGCCTCTTTAGCTTCAAAGAAATAATATCCATAAATATATATATTTCTGGAAAAGCTTTATGACTGGATTTCTAACCAGGTGTGAGCTTCTCTAAGTTCTTCTAGTGTAACCAGTACGCTAAGCAGGAATCCAAAATATGCTGTAATATAACCTAGATTAAAGTACTCAAATATCTTGGTAAAATATTTCATATCCAAATATTACATTTCTGTTAAAACTATTCTCACTCATTTTATAGTTTGCTTAGTGATTAATAGTGGAATCCCGGACGCACGTCTCGCTCTATTTGTAATTCACCAGACGGATGCATTTACACCCAGGCTAGTAGTGTTTAGCCCCACCCATCTATTCGAATGTCAATGTGTTAACGACTAGGCCATTGGGATACAAAAGCTACCCTATATGCAACAGACGCCAGCTGTTTTTCATTGATACTTGTAATTTTTTGTTGTTGTACTGAGTCGGAACTCTCGAAATGTTAGGCACGGACTTAAATGCTAGCCACCAACTAGACTACAATATAATGGATCTGCAGGAGGTGTACAGGTATCTGCATAGGAGCCCATCTGCCAACAAAGGTCAAGCATTTTCACCCAGTATAGCAACAGGAAATTACAAGTATCAATGAACATTTTCTCTTATATCTACTACATACTGACTGATACACCTAATTAGAATAATTCCAATTTCCCGTCTCCTCCCCCGTTTTCTTCATCTTTTTTTACTGCCACAGATAGTGTAGGTATCCACGCCTTCTAATAACTCCAGACTAACTGACTAACAAAATCAACGAAGAATCTCGCACACGGGTGCATCGGCTCAAGTTTCCTCACTTCCCAGTAGTATACAAATAACAGACGGATAGAGAAAGATTGATATCAAAGTAAGCAAAGTTTTATGACAAAACAAACAATCTGAAGATAATGGTTAGTGCACATGTTCAAGCTTTAGAAGACATCAAGAATTGAAAACTCTATAAACAAAATTTGATCAGTTCTTTGTCAAAATAAGTTTTTATAAGATCACCCATACACACCTACGTTAGCAGTTCTTAGGAGTGTATCCCGCTACGTATGCAGACCCATGATACTTCATATCTTCACCTTCCAATCCTACGGTAGTGTTTTACTAAGCCAATGGTGTGATATTAAGGAAACAAACTGACGTCATTCGATCGAATACCGTTGAGTCACACAGCTAAGCAAATAAAACGAAACATCGGTCAAGTTACATAGTACCAATTTAAAGTAACGAAGCTGTTAATTCCGAAGTAAATGGTTTCACTTTGAACCTAAAAGTGCGTTATTCCACACTGAAACATCCTACTGTATAATTATGTGTACAACAACAACTTACATCCTTTTGAACCCCACATTTTTTCAGCCTTCTGTTTAGTAATTAGTATTTGAAGTTGTTTTTGGTCATTTACATGTAAACGTATAATACTGTGAACATCTATCTGAAGATGGCATAACTCTTCCAAAAGTCCAAGTTTTTCAAAGTTAACAAGAAGAATGTATCGACAAATTCCATTAGCTGGTTCATCACCTGTTAAAATGAATTATGTATAACAACTTGGATAGGCAAAAGATGTAATTAACATCGTTTTAATCAGTCAAAACTTGCATAATAATATAATCAGTTAATTTTGATGAAAAATTCAGGGATAATAGTTGCATATAAAACATTAACTCTGATTAATATATCTTGACCTGAATTCCCCAATTTATCTCTCTAGTGAATATAAGAAGACATCTTCGTCGCGTATTACAACAGTGTGTTTTGTTGTTCTGCGTAGTTAAATTAGACAGTCATTAAGTTTTGGAAACATTCTGTTAGCATTTTAGTGCTAGTATGCTTCTACGACTACTTTTCTGTGCTGGGACTAGAAGTTGAGAATCGAGTTATGTGGAATTTTAATGAGGTAGTTGAAATGGCCAGAGAATCTATCCAGTTGTACCGAGTGAAATATGTAAGATACATAGATAACACCTACAACAAGGTGGAGACAATACGAAAGAGCTTAGATGAAAATTAACATTTTCAGTCACTGGCTGACGAAGTACAAGATTCTCAGCTTCATATATATATATATATATATATATATATATATATATATATATATATATATATATATATATATAATGTCCCTGATTGTTCATGGCCTCTCTAGAAGTCGATTTGCAATTAATTTTCTCGCCTCATTTAACTTGATATATGCACGAACGATCACAAGTCTTTTCAGAAACCTTCAGAATACGTTAGGTGGCTGTGAACGTCTTTCGTAGACTTACTTCTTTCTAATGCTTTCTGTGATCATACTATTGCATAGTGCTTCAAAATAGTAATTGGAATATCATACAGTTACTGGAGGTGGCAAATAACATATAAAACCTTTGTTTGTATTTCACTATTTTGTCAGTAAGTGGCTTATCGGAGTTCACGCACATCCTCAAGTAAGAAAAGTATGCAGCAAAAACCCAATCATTCTAATATAGTAAAAACGTTTCATATTCCCAAAGAAAACTCAAAAACTCGGTTGACTAGTTAATTACGAAGAATCAATTCGGGTCTTCGTTGTGGAAATAGTTTTCCGAAACGTAAGTCATTCAGTCCACATAATAAGTGGCATTACTGCGCAACAATCCAAATTACTACATGTCACATCATCGCATCAAGACGTAAGGCAACAAGATCAAAGACAGAGAAAATAACAGAATAGGAAATAGAATAATAAAAAAGTAGGCTAAAACAAATAAACTGTGACATAGTGTAAGGTAAATGTTCCTTCAAACTAGGAGTGTTTAAAAACATTTTTATAATATTAGCATATAGGGTTTATTGGAGTTATCTGTATAATAATGTATGTGACTAATACAATAAAATTATATGAAACCATTTCCCATGGACTTCAATGTTCTACACTAAACACTTTATACGAATATATTTTATATCACACTGACAAACGCTTTGGCAGTAGAACTCTCTGATAAGTTCTTAACTATATAGTAAACAAATACTTGCATTTGGCAAAGCAAAATATGCTCAATATTCACCTGATTATTCACTTACCGAGATATTTATCTTCCGGGATTTCTTCACCACGTTTATAAAGTTTACTTTTCTCTTTATCAACCGGAGGTTCTGGCAGTTTTGTGTTTTTGACTCCAGACTTCTTATCTTTTGGGTTCTCCTTCTTTTTTGTTTCATCCGGTCGACTGGGTTTTTGAACAGACTGAAGATGAAATGTACAAAGTGATTAGATGTCGACATATTTCGTGGACGTGTTATTAAGTCTAAATAGCATGATATTTCTGTCTTTTGAACAAATAGGGTTTACAGTGCATTTTAACTGTTGAGCAGTAAACTAAGTGAAAGTCGACCAAACTTTTTAGGAGTAAATTGTTCAACCATTTCAGTGTTCGATAGAGAATACAGTTTTTGATTACCCATCTTTTAATACTTAGTAACAAAGGAACATGTGTATTTAACTATTTTTTCAACACCCATATATATATATATATATATATATATATATATATATGTGTATATATATATATATATATATATATATATATATATATATATGTCTTCAAAGTAATGTTTCCACAACCCGAAGGAGTACAGATATTTCCATCATCTTATCAAGGACTTCAGATCTCATCACTTAACTTTTTCCGTCACCTATTTACACTCTGGTGTAGCGCCTATTACCGGATTAACATAGCACATTAGAAGTCTCTTCATTTTACACTGATTGGATTTTATTAAATATATATATCTCTGACTGTCTCGGGTATACAATTTTGGTTTATAGTTAACAGAAAGTAGTAGGTTATGAATTAAGCGTTACTGATGATGTTATAAATTATTCTCCTCTGCAACAGAAATAGACTAAAGTTTAAAATACTTGACTTAATAAAAGTCCTAGTGACTAGGAAAAGACTTCAAGGATTTTGTCTATAGAAATTGTAGCTAGGCGGTTTAATAATGGGAATATGTTTCTTAGATTTAAGCAATATAAAAATTTTAAAATTACTCTAATCTGTATTCAGCGAACCCCAGCTGGTTAAGGTTACTGAAATATGATTTAAAGTTATGGAAATGTTCAGGTGGCATGCAGATTTGAAAATTTTTTTCGAAGAACTTAAGTAAAATACATCTAAGAGATCAATACAAAAATATTATCAAATTTATTTGGAATAAAAAAGAATCCCTAGGGGGAAACTGAACCATTTTTGTCCACTTGAATATTCACCAAATGGTAATATATTTAAAAAAAGTAGTCAACACCCTGGAAAAAGTTATGGTATTCCTTGACACAACCACATGACACCCTTTAAAGCAAAATAAACAAGGACAAAACTACCTTGAACTCAATTTTGATATTAAAGATGGATAATACCTAGCAGTGGAATCTAGGATGATCATTTCGTTCTGTTTGGGGCTCGTCAGCTGGCTGTACCTGTCTCTTAGGGAGAGATATTGTTCCCACTTGAACTTAAACCCATAGTACAAGAAGTGGCTTTCGTGACTCTGTGGCCTAGTAGACAACTTTCTGGCCTGTAAGGCAATCAGACCAGCTTTCGAGTTCTAGTGAGAACAACATCATTCACTGGGAGACAGGTACAACCAGTTGACGAGTTTCGAATAGGATGAGGTGCATGCCCTGGATTCCATTACTATCCACTATCTGTCATTAAAATTGGAAGTAAAGGTAATATTAGGGCGTCCACGCAAGAGCCCACATGTCAATAGAGACCGATTAGTTCGGTCCAGTCAAGGACGAGACCGAACAAGTAACATCATGCATTTTGAATTCAACTGGATTCTTGACTTTTTGAGCGAAAATAGAAAACCACTCTCCCGAAAATGAACTTGATCAATAGAGAATCTGCCATATTGCACAAGTCTATTTGAACAATTTTCAGAACTCACACCACCTAATTACTACAGTCATGATTTATTTTAAGTGAAATTTGTCGTCACATAAAAATTTTTCTTAAATTCTGCAGAATGTTAGAAATATTAGTTTATTAACAAAAATCTTTACGTTGTACTTAATCTGTTGGATTGTAAATAACATTTTGTTTTATTGAATGTGACAAATGATCTGTGGAAAAAAGCTTTGTTAATCGGCAGAAAATAAAAAAATTTCCAGATTGGGTCAAATCTCGAGTAGACAACAGTGGATGTTATGATTAAACGCTTGGAAAATAAACAGTTAGCAAGGCCATTTTTAAGTAATTTGAGTATTTATAAACAAAGGATTTTATGAGCCAAACATCGTATTCACATGGATAACGGAAACCTCACCATCACATAAGATGAATCAGGAATACTCTGAACGTTTTATGTCATATGTTTTGCCAGGTTGATTACAAAAACCACTGTACTTGTATTAAAATAATAGTAAATTTATCCCACCAAAAACTCATTCAAGCTTTAAATGTGCATGACACAACAAAATTGAAAAGCTCCTTTTCTTCTGTAGGGTTCTTGTTTTCTATATTTATGCAACATAAAATGGTCAAATTTATTTCTGATTTTATCACGAAAAGTAGCGTTTATCTTCCATGGAGAGTTGGTCATAAATAACATATCCGTTCAGTACTCACTTATAACACCTCTTGGGCAACTTTACAGATAAGTTATTGGTATGAGAAGAGATTGCCTTTGCGTCCCTACATTAACTGACTCATTGTAGTTCATGTAAGAAAACATCAGTGAGAGGTGAGGTACGTGAACCTATTTTCTCTAGACATTATCCTCATGATGACATAGATATTTCGTATAAATTTTGAGTCGGTTATTTCTTTCTTTACGTCGTTTAAATGTCTTTGAAGGAAACGGTTGATTACATTCAACTGCTTTCATAGCGAATCAAACTGATTAACCCATCGAATGAGTATTTTTTCCACTACGCAAAAAGAAGAAAATCTTCATTTAAATGGCTTAGAAGATATTTGTTTGTAAAACAACTGATTAAAATGGTTACTGAGCCGTATTTTGATTATGTACTTGTTAGTTGAACATGATGTGTAAACCTAGCTAAATAACCTAGTGAGTATCCAAAATACTTCAGCACTTAAAAAATTACAATAGACTTCCAGCGAAAAAATAGCTACTGGATTAGAAAAAACATTAACTGCTAACGTGGATCGATTAAAAACCTGTTTTACAGAGATAAAATGATATGTTCCAGCGTCAAAGTGGAGGAAGACTTGTGAGCAGTTGAAAGATGCTTAAGGGACAATGGATATCCACAAGCATTTATTAACAGATATGGAAAAACAGAAGACAAAAGTCGAAGAGTGCTACAGTCAACAAGAAGCCTGTACTCATTGCAGGAGTTACTAGCAGAAGATTGAAGAAATCACTGGCTAGAACGTTCCCTGGGACCAGGTTAATTCCCATGTACTAAACAATGTGCTCTTTAGTTCACTTAAAAGTTGATAGATAACCTTTCTATGTTTCCTCCAACTGTGTACATTAATTTGTGCTCAGCTGCCGAAGCAGACAGAGTGAAAGAATAGAAGGAAGGGTATATTTTAGATTTTCTGAACACATTCTGAAGACAGGTTAAATGAAGAAATATATTCCTTTTCAATTAGTGATTCATCTTTGGCTCCACATTAATATATAGGTTTGCAATTTCAATCAACATTACAGTCAAGTGTTGGGGGGTTGATAAACAATAATTATACACTTTAAGTAAGTCATGAAAATAATAAGTTTAAGTAATTAAGATGCGACTAACCAAATGGATAATTATAGGGGGTTAAAAATGGTAGTTATGATAGAGTGAAACAAGCTATTCCCAGGAAAGCACCATAGTAACCGGCAAATTAAGTGGGGTAATTTTTCTCAAGTGGACAATCATTAACAATAAATAATCTCGTAAGAATAAGAAAGCAAATGAATATTGAAAAAAGAAGAGGGATAAGGGGCGCAAAGTAGTGCTAAAAGTTATATCATGTTGACAACCATGATAACCCAAGCGATTGAAAAGTTTCTTTTGGACGTAAAGGTTAGATTTGTAAGGGTGGATCGCAACCGCCTCTGCCATGTAAAGTAAACGAAATCTCATTCCATATGGCAAATAAATTGGAATGTGATGTATAATTTCAAATGATTTGTCAGCATCTGCTCAAAATCCAATTTCAACTAGGTGTGAAAGTATGAAGTTCTTTATCGTTTCAATCTTTCCCTAATTCGATCGTAAATGGATGGTAATCAGAAATTTGACAATGGACCTGCCTTATTGTAAGCCAAATGTGACTAGCTCCACCGGAGTAGTTATACTAATAAATGCATACGAAAGTAGCAGAATCACGCAGTCTGTCATTATTTTTTACACCTCGAGGCAGAATTTATTCTTCTTGAAATTCGTAAAGAAAAAGTAGTTTCTTTCAGAGTAATAAGCAGTTAGTCAACTAGAGAGCTTGATCAACTATCAGACAAATGTTATACACTGTGAAATTATACTTAAACCTCTTCTCCATCGAATTAGAGTAAATTTGCCAACTGAACTTGCTGCAAGATCTTTAGGTTCATCTGAAGTTGTAATGGCAAATTCACATACTTGTCCACCGTTTCAATCCAGTTCTATTTTTAGTAGCTGATGAGTTGCCTGACATACTCAAAGCCAGTCAATCGAAATTCAACTTCAACATTATCTATGACTAACCATTCATCAAACAAGGGCAGGAACATAGTTCTCGGTGGCGAATAGTAATTTTTAGTAATTGACATTCATCTTAAGTTGTACTGAGAAAACTACAGAATTCGCAACCTTTTTTCTACAAAACAAAACATGCTTCTTTTTTCATACCTGTTCAACACAAAAGAATGCTCCTCAGTGAGTCTTATTTTTCCTATCTGTTTGATGTGACTGAAAGACTTAGACAAAAATGTGAGCAAATTGCATGAATCCACTACTAGTTAAACAGTACTGGATTGCAGTTCCTAGACAGTGGATTGATAGTAGATTTTATGTTTTCTGACTACCTATGTGACGAAAAAGGCCCAACACCCATTGGATTAATTATCTCGTTTACACTTGCAACAGAAGCTTTGCACAGAAAAGTGAGTGTTAATACAACTTCATCTGAGAAGACAGCGATGAAAAGAGGTGGGGCAAACCATTATATTTGATACTTTCCTTTTAGTCTCTACTAAGTAAACTCTTAAACTTTTAGATCTGCGGTAACTCGAAGTTTTGTGATCCTATTCTTAATGATGAATGCAAGTTGACATTACACGTTAGTTCGAATAAAATAGTACATACCACAACCCAAGCGGAGGTGAGATAAGGCATACTGATTTCGGCAGTAGCTGTCAATATTTCATCAGCATGACACTGCTATTCGATAATCAACTCGAAACATGGTCTGTAAATGTCTAACTACTAAGGTATGGCAGCCTCGGTGATCTCCTTACGAAGCCATCAATTATTATGCTGAAGATACTTTATCTACTACACACATGGGTGTGATCCCTCAAAAAACAATCTCCAGCTTCCTTTTTGTCCTGTTCGTGATCTAAGATTAGCATGCCTTGACTAGAACTATGATTCTCAAATGACTTATCTTCTCTCGCTGTGTCTGTTTCTTTTTCTAGGAACGATTGTTCCAGATCTCGCTACTATCTGTTCCTGAAACCATTGGTGAATCAAACTAAGTCAATACATCAGACAAATCTCTCAATTTAAAGTCTACTCCTTTACACTCGGTTAAAGATTTCATTACTCACCAGGTCTTCTTCAGTATCAGTTTGTTTAAAATTGCCAGAGAAATTCGCGGATTTTTAAGGATAGATGAGCCGGAAACAACTCAGTGCAGTCTTTAAGGTCTAGACAGTTGTACTTCTAGACTTCATTACATTACTACTTGCCAATTATGTTAGGTGTTCATGTCACTATTATTATTTGTCCCTTCGGTTCCTAGTGGAACGTAGGGCTTTAGTCGCACGCCTCCGATGCACTATGTTCCCTACAGTCTTTTGAACCTGACGCCACGACTGCCCACAAGCTTTCATCTCTTCCTCACATGACCTCCTCCATGTCACCCTCTGCTAAGATGTCCAACTCGTCGTTTTCCCTTTGGGTTCCACTCGAGGGCCTGGCGTGTGGTCTTCTCAGTGTATGCCCAATCCAATCCATCTCCACCTTCTTCTGCATATTTTTTGGGTGATAGGTTCCTGGTTGGTTTGTTGCCAGAGTTCCTTGTTGCTTATTATTTCTGGCCATCTCATATTCAGCAACCAGCGTAGGCAGCTGCTGATGGTCAGTGTCTGTGGTTTGTTGGAAGTGCTCTTCTTGACGCTCCAAGTTTCTGAAACCATATAGAAACACTGACTTGATACTGTTGTTGAAAATCCGGATCTTGTTCTTTGTGCTGAGTGCAGTGCAGTAGATCTCCACACTGATTTCAGATTAGTGATGACCTGTCTTGCTTTTCCGACCCTGGTTTTGAAGTCCTCATCTGTGCCACCACCACCCCCTGTAGTTGAAAATATGCTGAATAGTTAGGTAATTGAAAGAGACGACTTCGTTTACATTTCTCTCGTTGATGGTGAATGGCGCTGGTTGTCGGTGTTGTTGTTGTTGTGGCTTTAGTATCTTCATCACCTCTGTCTTCTCTTCTTTCACTTAAGATACAGTCCTCACTGCCACTTCTGTCAACTAGTTCGTTTTTGCCTGTACATCTTCGAGCTCGTGCGACAACACAATAGACATAAATCATCATTGGCGAAATCCAAATCTTCTAGGGTCTTTTCATTGGTCAAACAACGTATCCGCATCTTCGCGCTCCTCGCAGCTGCCAGTTGCATGATCCAGTTCAGTCGACCACAATCAGGAAGATCATCGGTGATAGTAGGCGGCAACCTTATCTTACTCCTTCCTGTCTTCACTTCAAAGGCGTCACTGAACTTTGCACTGTGAGTTGCTTGGCACGTAGCATCATATAGCATATAGCTGTTGAATGAGGTTGATAAGATTTGTGGCATTAAAGGCATAGTGTTGAAGCAGTTTCCAAATATCTTCTCGGTCGACGCTGTCGAAGGCCTTATCGAAGTCGATCAAGTTGAGGTAGAGTGTTGACTGCCATTCCATATTCTGTTCTATGATGATGGGTAGCGTAGCGTAGCGTTGCAATTTGATCCACACATGATTTGTACTTCATGAAGCCAGCCAACCAGCCTGTTCCGGTAGTAAGTTTGAATCCATCACATCTATAATCTCTCCAGGATGATGCAGCCTAATATTTCTCTTGGGGTGGATAGGAGCATGATTCCACGCCACTTCTTGTTCTTGGAAAGACTTGAGTCTCCATTCTTTGGAAGTTTGACAGAGTAGTGCTTCTTCCAATCAATAGGAATGTGCCCTTCCTTCCTTCCTCCCTTCCTAGCAAACCTTCTGCAGTAGTGATGTGGTGTGAGCATGTCCGCTGTTGCCTCTGCGTCTGTTTTCAGTGGTTCTGAAGGAATTCAATCTGGTCTTGCTGCTTTCCCGGCTTTGAGTAACTTTATGGCTTTCAAGACTTCGGCTTCTTTCGGAGAGCTTACGTTCACTGATAATTCTGTGGCTAGACTGCTGGTGGTATTTCTGGACCAGTTACAGGAGGTGTAGGTGGACGATTTGAGAGCTTTTTGAAGTGGTCAGCCCATCGTTTTCCTTGTATCTCCTCTTTGGTGTTAAGTAAGCTTCCCTCATTATATTTGATTGGTTTCATCTGCGTTGATCTCTTCCCAGATAGAAAGTAAGCTGGTTATTTGATACAGTGTTTTCAGGTCTTTCCTATCTGCAGCCTGTTCTGCTTCACTTGCCAATGTGTCGTAGAAGTGTCTTTTGTCTTTCTGCGCGCTGTTCTTCATTTCTTTGTCCAGTGTCCTATATGTTGTGTTCATCCTACTGGTCCATAATTAAGCAAACACATTGATTACAGTTTGGTCTCCCCAGAATCTAGTACTTTTCATCCATGGACAATTAGCAATCAATACTTTCGGTGAAACTGACTTTCAAAACTTACAGGAAAAATTTGAGACGTATTATTTGAAATATCTGTGATGACTCACTTCAAATAGTTAGCATAAGTTAAATGATGTAAAACATAAGTTTAAAAACTGCTAGAACAGCCACACCACTTGTAACTAGGGCTATTTTTTCAACCAGCTCCCCAGTAAATGCTTAGGAGGGATACGTTGAATTTAAAAAATACGTGTAGTACACTCTGCTGTGCTTCTTTACTGAATACTGAAGAGCCATAAACAACTCGTGCTAAAAAAAGGATATGGTGGGGTTCTTAAAAGTTTGCAAGACCTAAAGCTGCTGTGAGCTAATTATCTCATTAGATGTCTTGTATAGTTGGCAAAATTTTCCGATCTGAGATAGAACTTGCAATAGAGTATCACGAGGCAATTATTCTTCACGTATAAAACTTACATTTTTCTTGGCAGATTGTTGCTTAATATCCTGAACTCTGAGGTTGTTAAACATGAATTTCAGCAATTTAGATAGTATTTGTGAGTTCAGGACACCCGTAGAATCTAAATAACTTTTAGCGACGTGGCAAATTTCACAGAATTCTGGTGCCTCTTTTGTATTTTTAATTTTACATAGCGCCGCAATTTGACTCAGTATATCCTCATATGTTATAACCGTGAATCTTCTTCTCTGTCCGTTGTTAACAGCTGCAGCTAGTATAGATATAATTTCACTTTCCACTAATATTGAAGGTGAAATAATGGAAAGTGACATTTTCCATTCATCCTAAATGGAATAAATTGATTAAAAATCATCCTTACGTCATCTAAGATGAGGTCACTAAGTCTGCATCCCCAGTCTGTCTGAGCAAGAGAAGCTCGTGGGGTTTTACTCTTGACATTTCTAGCACTTTTAGGCATTTTCAAAATGCATACGCTTCATTTACATGACAAGTACCTTGAAACTGAATTACTAGCAAAGAAAAACAAGCACAAAATGGCACCTGTCATAATGCAGTACAGCATTTTTGACTGAGTCAATTCTTTAAAAAAAATTCGAATATTTTATCTATTTCTTTGCTGGGAAATATTTTGAGAGAGAATATTTATGAGATAATGTTCACATGACAATTTAATGAGGTTGATTTTTATCATGTCTAACAAAATCTTGATTCCTGTTTTCAATCGCTATTCTTAGCTGAAGTACTGCAGATATCTAAAAACCAAGTTTCGCCGGACCTAGCAACCAAGATGCTAATTTACACGTCTTTTATGCAGTTCGATTTTCGTTCTCAGTTTTCAGGAAGAAGGGTGGAAAGGTATTGATCCATGATAATCTGTACTGACGGTTATATTTTGGAAATATAGTCTTACACTAGACTTGCCACCAGAGGGAGAGGACTGTATGTGCCCCGGTAGAAATCCTTAACGGTTTACATCTCTGCGTGACAAAGACACTTCCAGACGTGAACGATTTCACAGCGGTTTGTGAACTCTCACACAATACCCCCTTGAAAAACTAGTTTCGGATGGTGAAAAACAGGTCAAAAGGTAAATGTCCATTCAGAAGATGATGTAGTAGGATGAGGTCATCCCCTAACTTACGGTAAGGCGTTGGACAAAGTCCAGCTTATTTTCTTACTATCATCCTGATCCCAACCCTCTGTTCCTACACTAATATTTTGGTTTCACGCATAAACCATGGTCTCCATGCTTAAATCGCACGTTTCAGATGGGCTTTTATATACGCCCACTTCATGAGCGGGAATAGTTGTTGTGATGCCCCAGTTCTGTATAAAACATTATTGGTCTGAACAATTCAACGTGTCATTTCCACACGATTTTTACAGCACGACTAGTAGTCTCCTTTCTGCCCCCATTGTAACGTAAATCGCTAGTTGGCTAATCTTCACTCTTACTGTGCAAATGCCTCAAATTGAGGACAAGGTCATCTTTCATGTACATACTAATTCACGTGTTTTGGACTGATTTCTCATTATAATCTCGGAGTAATACACTCTCCTATCTGTCTTCTCTCTGTTCGTCCGGGGGTTGCAGTCAGTGGCCCTTGCGTACTAGGTTAGCTGTCAGCTAAGCGTGCTTATTATATTCGTTTCGGAATATACATAACCATTAGCGTTTCAAGACCATAATAATATTTTCTCATAAAGGCTTTTAAAGCTGTTTGTGAGGACGGAAAGATAAGAAGACCTTTGGCGGCTGCGATATTTGGCTACTGTTTACAGATCTTGACTGACCATGATACTTAAGTCCTCGTTTCGGGCTACTACCGTGAATGGTGTGCCGCTAATCAGGTTTTTCTTCCGGATGGTCACGGCCTGTTTGGATGGCTGTACTCTTTGTGGTATTAAATTTTTGGACACCATCTCGTCGACTCATCCATTACCGTGGTTAGGCCATCCAGTAAAACCAGCCAGTCGTCATCAGTGTAAGGCGGAAGGGGACTCACGCACGTAGAATGATGAGGACAGTAGGCTTTAGATGGAGTCATGAGTCATTCTACTCTTTGCTTGTTCCTACGAAGATGAGGTCCCACAAATCATCGCTCCGTCCTATTGCAAGGGAAATCTCTGATTACGATTCTAGATACACCATCGATCCAAGAGATAGCCACCTTCTTCTTCAGGCCTGCGTGAGATATCAACAAAGCCTCTACCAAAGTTTATGAACATTACATCAGTTGAAATGCTCATGTGACTGACAGTAGCTTAATCCTCTGCTCAAGCGACAGAAGTTCAAATGGTTCAAACGGTTGTAGACTGAATCAAAGAAGCTTTCACATAACTGGCTTCCGCGTCTGCAATCCTTGAATCCTTACTCCTTTTGGTTTCTAGCCTGTGTACATTTAAAAGAGAGGGGAAAGTGACGATCAAAACGAGAAAATTCAGTTAGTTCCGGGCAGATCCCAGGTAAGCGTCAGTGGTCAGCCCTCAACCAGTTCTGCTCCATAGCTGAAGACCATTTCCTCTGAACAAGCAACACTATGGGGTTTCATGCAGTCTTTTTCAGTGGCTAAACTCCTAAGCTTTTCAAAACAACTGGATGCTAGCTTGACATCAGGTGTCTGTAACCAGCTTTATGAACTGAACTGATGATAGCACTCCCCGTATTCCTATGTAACCAGGACTAATTCAGTGAAGTTGTAGGCCATCAAGAAAACCATTTAGGCACAAGGTAGGCTAGTGGTGATAATATACATTGATGTGGCCCATCAGCGTGACAGAACTTGCCGTTGCTGATAGCTTTTTCGAAGACATCCTTCTCAATAAATACTAGTTTCACTCCTAGGAAGTCAACAAAACGGATTCCAGGCATCTAATAAAAAAATCGGAGTACGTCACCAAGGTAACTTATGGAGTTTTATCCCTATTTATATTGTTATTGCATCTATGCTTCCGTTGTCGGGACTAGGATGCTTCCATGGCATTTAGTTCTTCTTCAACTGCAGAAGTATGACCCCTTAGAGTAGTGCTGGGAATCCTGGACAAGGTCCTTCCCTCTTGCTTACCTAGATTTTCTAATCAGGCCTCAACAAGAGTTTCGGACCTGGCAGTGGTGTAGCGCTAAGTAACCAGGACCCTTTGTGACGACGTGTCTTACAAAACCTTATTTCACGCATCAACATGATGTAGGATCATAGCAACTGACCGGTTTACCGGAGAAGCGAATTCCTTCTAAACCAATATCACCAATCAAACTGAGAAGCCGTGCTATAGTAAAAACTTATTCTGTTCATCAAGATGAACCGAAACCTATCTCGAATGACCATCTCCGGCTCATACAGTCACAGATTTCAATAACGGTACCAAGCTCATACTTCCAGCAGCCACACTGGCTCATTTGCGAAACCAGGCGTGTATGTAAGGGGTATGTAGCGGCCAGAATCCAATAATCTTGGCCTGAACGCAAGAAATAACTAAGCGGTGCCAACTGACGTGAATCTTACTAGTTCCTGCGTTCTACCGTATAGCTTCCTAACTTCCGCACGTGACGCACAGTCAAAGGTTGGATCAAACTATCGAAACACGGTTCGTAGTGATTCAATAGTGGATTCGTAACAAAATCTGTGGTACTATCAAAGCAACAATAAGTTATATCAAAGTTACAAAAATACCTCAATAATGCCGTTAGGTAGCTATACAGTCCAAAATGTTCTCGGGTGCAAATACGTACTATACGGTAAAAACTCGTCAAACAAACGCAACTGTTAAATACCTGACGGTCAATAAAAATATTCCCGACAAAAGGGGTCAAAACTCTGCCTACAGGAATCAAATCAACAAACAAGAGTTTCCAGTAGACAGACAAAAGACAAACAGTCAAATCACTGCACAACCGTAAGTTGAACCAAAACAAAATGTCGGGTGCAGTAAAACAACATCACCTTGTCAACAGTCCAGCGTCACATAATAGGAAAGTGAAATATTCATGATAAGCCTCAATCATACAAGGGCAAATACTGGGTAAAAGGTCAAATAGGACAGCCAAACAAGCAAATAACATTACACCGGCTAGGGTCAAAGGTACACCATCCATAACGAGGGTAAAAATATTAAAGCAAATGTCAATACAATCAAACAAGGGTGATCAGGAGGGATTTTCTGATCAATTTTCCGTTACAGGGTATAACTGCTAATCGTAGGCTGAAACTCAACCTTTGCTTTGGAGGGTATACGGAGTCAGATGCTAAAGTCAAGCGTTTAAATCACATTGAGGCTAGTTACAAAATATCTTAGGTTAGTGCAAATGATATCATGGCTTTTTTTAGCCTTATGGCAGTCAATCACAGTACATCTAATAGCAGTGGCTTCCAAGAAGCGTTGCATTGGTCTCCAAGGCTATTCTAAGCCCTAGATAGTGTCCTTAGGGAGGATGTAACCTTTAAAATAGTCAAAGGACAGATTTTAGTAGTAACAGCATTTGAAAATGGAGGAAAATAATTTGTTTATCTTCCAAGGTTTGATTGGATTTTCAGTGGCAGTGTCTAACCTATTTCACCTTGATTTCCTAATATTTTCTCCCGCCCTTTTACGTGGTCCCCACTTGCGTATTCGTACTATTCGCCATTGTTGCTGCTGTAATCCACGTTCTCTAAACCTGTTAATTTGCTCGCACTGTGAGTTGTGCACTTCCGTCCAAACCTCGTTTTGTCTCCATGACTAGACAGTAACGAAAATTAAGACTTTTCTCATTTCGTGAACACATTACACCCACTTTTGATTGTTCCTTCAGTGCTTTGCCTATCCTTGAAGGATTGTTCGTATTGATTCCTTCGCTCTGCCGCGCAAGTCCACGCGCTGTCGACATTTTTGATCCCAGTTTCCCTCGAAAAGTCAATTTTTAGGTGCTTCTCGTACAAAATGAGCCCGGCAGCGGTGGGCCCACAAAATCTTCATTGTTTGAACCACATGATTCTTTGTTACGTTTTTTACTTATTAAGCACCGTGTTTCGGACGAATCCTGTATTTTTTTGTTACTTGTCATCGGAATGCATAGTTACGCGTCATAGAAACAGATGACCATCAAGGCTGTGAGCCCGAAGAATGAAATTCACTTTCGTGTACTTGCATCACGACTGCGTTCCGGCTATTTTGTAGCACGCACACTAGAATGACTGAGCGACATGTGAGACTACTAAGTGCGGGTTTAAGAACAGGCGTACGAGTTTCCTGATAAGTTTTTACGATTTCTGGCCAATCAGGAATGCAGAAATACTGTGGGCGATAGCATCTCACTGCGCAAACATTGCGGGCAATGCTTGCAGAATGCGTGAGCTGGAGAAGGTAATGCACACAACACAGAAGTTTTTCAGGTGGCTTATGTGATGTAAGCAAAGTACTTTTATGAAGTTCAGTAGCCAGGATGCGCATATAATCTCGTAAAGATGGTACTGATTTGTG